CATACTTTGTGGGAGAAATACTTTATGAGGGATATACTTGAGGAGGAGGGAGGGAGGCAGGTTGGAACAAACTGATGCTTTTTACTTTGAAAGCACAGAGCTGCTGGTGACAGACACATCAGTAGGCCCTAACCAGGACCCAGTACTTGAGAGACTGAAGCCAGACAAAGTTATATTCAGCATATTTTATATAAAATAGACATTTACATAAATTTTATTTTGCAAAGTCCTAGGCAAAGCATACATAATCATACTTTGTGGGAGAAATACTTTATGAGGGATATACTTGTAATCGGCACAGTAAAGATAATAAAAGTGTACATTTCTATACAACTGATCCAAACAGGGACTAAAAGCATGATGGACAAAGAACATGATGGGAGCCATTTTCTCCTGACAACTGGGGGGTCCACGTGAGCAAGTCCAATGGCTCCACATATCACAGCAAGCCATGGCATCTACGGATACTTTAATTCCTCAGGGGGAAGTTTTATCTTTTTTCCTTCAGTAACAGTAAGAGAATCACCATAAGAAGTTTCAAGTGCACAGACTGAAAAACAAGAGTAATTACCACTGTGATGTTAAAGCAGCTCTCAGGCTGTGTGTTCACGTGTCTGTTGCAGGGATCGTGAGTACAAGTCAGTTATCTCATCAAATACACAGGGCTTTTCAACCTAGAGCCCACTGCAGTGGCTCACAGAGTTTACCAGAACCATCAGACTGACCAGTCCTTTATGGGTGATAAACTTAAGTGAGGCACTGACTTAATTGTTCCAGGTCAGGTAGCTCCTTGGCGGCAAAGCTAGGACTAGTACCCAGAGGCCTTGATTCTTGGATGAGTGCACCTCTCCTACGGATCAGCAGATAAGTAAATCCCAAAAGGACATTATCACACTGGGAACTACCAAACCTGACACTAGTGCACACCATGTGCATCACAGCCAATGAGAAGAAGGCCCTGGAACTTGGGATGGAGACATCTTTCCAGTTGGGAACAACTGGTGATCTAAATTTCTAAACTGACAATGGCCATATACTGTGATGGGTGCTTGTTCTTTGAGTTATTTGCCCTAAATGTTTTAATTAAAAGGATTCGTGGTGATAAAAGTGGAACATTTTAATATGAATCAAATGATTGCTGTAAGTAATCTAATCAATTCTATTGTGTCACTCTGATATTAAACCATGCTTTTGATTGCAGTTATTTTACCTCTTTATAACAAAGAGCTCATGAAAACAAGAATATTCAGGGAAATGCTATTTTTAGAACTACTTAACATAGTTTTTTCATCAAAAACTTTAAGAATTGTAAAAAAACATAATGTTTCCTTATATTATTTTTTGGTACTCTAAGCTTTTATCTTATTCAACTGCAGACTAAAGCAAGAATTTAAAGGCATTTACTCTTTCATAATGTTGAAAGATGTCATTCAGGTAGTTAAGTTTTGCTACACTTGGGAGACATCAATATCTAGTCAGACCAAAGTGAATTTAATTTTGAAACTAAAAAAAAAAACCTACCTCTAACCATATTTGCTTTGAATGTCATTGCCAATATCCTAAAGATTTATTTTTCTAACTAGTGAATCTACCACAAATAAAAGCAAACGTTTTTGTTTGTGTTTCTTTTCAAAAAGTGACTCTCAGAAGTACAATTAAGAATTAATTAACAAAGCGCCATGTGTGTGCCAAACAGGAGAGACACATGTAGGTGCCATGGGCACCTTCTGTGAGTAACAAAATGTCAGTTTTACACACTGGGTGTCTTGTCGGGTACATGCAAATGGCAAGGCAGTTCCTCTCTCTCTGACAACCCGGGATTCTGTAAATGTCAGGCCAAATTATAGTCTGATTGCCACAAGAAGAAAACCCACCCCCACCCAACCTCCTGTCAGTCAGTCTTAGAACGACAGTTTTACATCGTTCTTTAGAATCTTTGGCTCATTTTACTCTAATAGTTAAAGTAAAGATTTCAGAAGACGATAAACATAAAAGTCATAAAGACCCACAAAAGTTGTTGGCTGTTCAATGGTTCTATAGCCTACATTGCCATAGGAGTGTCACCTGGACAGTAAGGTGTCAGGGCTTTTGAAAGGTCCCCAGTTGTTTCCTTAGGGCAGGCCATGTGGAGACCCACTGTGTGCAAGGTGGAAGGCTCACTGTCAGCTGAATGCAGCTCTGCAAGCAGAAGGACCTGCAGTGTCTAAGGGGACAATGAGATATTCCACATTTGTTTTCTTGCCCAACTACCATTAGTGCAGGCTGCTTCATATTGTGTGGTTTGGATTTTCTCACAGTGAAATCCTGTACCAAACTAGGTCCCACCTATTACAAATCTCAGAATCTTATGTTAGGTGTTGTGAAATAAAGTGCTGACAATACTCTTTGCTTCGTGGTAAGCTTCAAAACAAACCCAGATCTGGGGATGTAACTCAATGGTAGAGCGCTTGCCTAGCATGCATGAAGTTCCATCCCCAGAAGCACAAAAACAAAATGAAATAAACCACTCCAAACCCCAAAAGAGTATGTATTAGGAGTCCCTAAAAAAAATTCCTTCTCCTCCAAGTTATATGTACCTTTGGTTTTATTCACCTATGTTATATCACTGAACCATGCTTTATGAATGAGGTTAATAACTTGAGAACAGCTAAATCATTTAAAAATTTTGAATGACTAATTCATAAATTTAACATAAGTGGCAAAAGCCATTCTCATAATTTCTATGTCAAAGGACACATTGAGGGATTGCCACTTTTGGGGATTTTGATGACAAGAAATGATTCCAGGTGGGACTGAAGGGCAGGACAAACAGAATAGGAGTGTAGAATATATATGTGAAGAAGTCTAAATGTAGCTGAGAAAAAAATAACATGCTGCTCAGCATGACACAATCACAGGGAAACTGATCGTTAATTAAGTGTTCAGCCAGGACAAAGCAATTTCTATCTTGTCTTGATACCTTCCTTCCTACCTAATTCTGAGATGCAGTGCCAAATAAAACTGCCATACTCCTTTCTTAAAAATTAAGATTATTCCTAGGTGTTTTAATTTTTTGAAGATATTACAAATGGTATTGTTTCCCTGATTTCTTTCTCAGACTGTTCATTTTTTGTGTATAGAAAGGCTACTGATTTTTATGTGTTGATTTTGTATCCTGCTATTCTGCTGAATTTTTTTTTTGGGTGGAGTTTTTAGGATCTTTAAGGTATAAGATCATATCATCTGCAAACAGGGTAATTTGACTTCCTTCCCTATTTGAATTCTCTTTCTTTCTTTCTCCTGTCTTATTTCTCTGGCTAGGAATTCCAGTACGATAATGAATAATGTGGAGATTAGATACTTTTGTCTTGTTCCTGATTTTAGCGGAAATGATTTCAGTTTTTCCCCATTTAGTATGATACTGGCTATAATTTTTTTTTGCATATAGCCTTTATGATGTTGAGGAACATTCCCTCTATTCCTAGTTTCTTCAAAGCTTTTATCATGGAAGGATGTTGAATTTTGTTGAAGGCCTTTCCTGTGGCTATTGAGATGATGATGTGGATTTTGTCATTGATTCTGTTTATGTACTGTATTACACTTATTGATTTGCATATGTTGAACCATCCTTGCATCCCTGGCATGAAACCAGATCATGCTATATGATCTTTTTAATGTGTTGGCTGTTAGATTCTGTTAGTAAGTATTTCATTGAGGATTTCTGTATCTCCATGACTGGCCAGGACTCTCCATTTTTACTTTGATAGGGATGCATCCACTTATTATATCACGTTGTAAGGATCAAAGAAAAATGTTACAAGATGTACTTAATGTTTTTGAAAAAGAGCATGTGATTTTTTTTTCTTATAGGCACCTTTTAAACTGTGAAAACTATCTTGCTGGCCACATTTCAGTGAAAGAAAAATATCTGATCTAAAAACAATGCTTACTTTTAATGTCCAGGAGATGCTCGTATGTGCAGATATATGAGATGGTAAGAAAAAGACAGCGGGGAGTAGGAGGAGAACCAAAAAGGTAGCAGAGAATGCCTTCTGAAGGCCATGTGATCCTTTTCCCCTGGAAACGTTTAGGTAATAATTGCCATCTTAATTATCCAACTCATACGCTTAGAAACACTTTAAATAGAGCATAATTACTTCCAAATTTGGGGCTCAATCTTTTCCATTAACTTTTAAAATATGAATTTTGGTTATAGACTATTCTGAAAAATAGTGATAAAGTCCTAGATACTGTTTTTAGTGAAAGCTTCCTATTTTCCAACTTGGGGACCAGGCTTACTTTATAATAAGCACATTTTCTAATCAGTACATTTTTTTTACCTTAGGACTATAGAAGTGAAATTTAAGAAGAAAATACTTTTAGACTTTGGATAAATTTATGATATATAACACTGAACGGCTATTGGACGTGGAAGGTCATCATTTGCATTTGAAACACTCCTCCCATCATCCCTTCTCAAAGCAATTTTCTTCCACTTATACAGTCTTATCTTGCCCTGAAACTAACACACGGGGCAATGCTTCCTGATCTGGGCTGCAAGGAGCAGAAGGCGTCCTATCCTGTCCTGGCCTGCACGGGGGAAGTATTTTTGGCTCAGCACCAGGAACAGCACTGCTGTGTGGTTTTGCACTTGATGGTGATGGCCATAATTAGAACCATGCATTCCAATTTCTTCTTTCCAAAATACGTCATACCCAAACACTGAAGCCTGGCCCCTAGCTCCTTTAGCTTCAGGAGGTGAACAGTGGATACAATTTTTTTGAGGGACTGTTAAAGCTTCAGTATTTTGTAATTTAGATTTATATTTTTATATGATCAGTTTTGAAGGCTGCTATTAAAACAACTATGTACAGAGAAAAAAGTACACATGTACATATATATTAAATACTTATAAGTTATGAAATAAATAACACTAAAAATAAATGTCAAATTGTAAGTTCAACTTTGCCACCCATATCTTTTCAATATAAATATATACTTTTAAAAATTATGAGTTTGCTTTTCACTCTAGATTTTTGGAATATTCTCCATGAAGTGTCCAAAATTACAAATCTGGAATAAACCCTGGGTTTCAGTCACTCATGTTTTAAGCATGCAATTCTCCTGAAGCCTAGGAAGACAAATAAATAGAGCTCTCTTTCAATCTAGCTAGTTTATGAAGATTTCTGTTATATGCTGTAAAGATTCCTCACTGGTTAAATATAGTCTTCAGAAAAATAATACATCTTGTGATGTCTTGACATTAAGATAATAAAGTAGGATGTTCCTCTCAGTTAATATCTTTTCTATTTTCTATGTAGAATATACTATTTTTTTCCTCCACCAAAATAATATTTAAAGGTGGGAACATTTATGACTTTAAATGCACTTTTGAAGTCTTAGAGTAGAACCACTACTCTAGTAATACTTGGAACAGAATTAAAATAATTTTAAATAAATCCATAAAGAATTAGGAGTATCAAGCTCCTTCATTTTCCTGTTAGAGACTTTCCCTATCCAATTCTAGAAGATTCCCTCTTGATATATTAAGCAATGGAAGAACTTACATCAGAGTGGAATTTAATTTACTCTTCAAAAGGTCCTTAGTAATACCCTTCAGGGGAATGTTAGATAGAGCCCACTTACCGATAGCCCTTTCTCCCATATATTCTGGAATGCTCTACAAAAGCTATTAGATATCAGTTTCAGGTTCTGGAGAATTAACTGAGCCTCTCCTTGGTACACTACCAGATGGCTGACCCCAGAGGATTTATCCCTTTTTAAAAAGCTCATCCCATAAAGAATAGATTCTCTGCCTTTATAGCATGTTAAACTTCTGTAGTTCTGAGATATGAAAGTTCTAAAGTAAGAACTAGAATTAGATCTCCACATCGCAAAAGCACAGCAATGTATCTAGGGAAACTGGGAATTAAACCAAACACAAATCTGTGAAATGCAGAGTTGCTATTCCTTCTTTCTCAGACCTTTCTTTCCTTTCTGCTGTTTTGTCCTCATTCATAGAAGTGTGATCCTTCAGCACAGATGACCCCAAACATGCCCCCTGCACTGGGAGCTGAGGACAGCTTCACTGGCTGTGTCACACGTGTGTGAGAGCAAGGCCTTGGTCCTCTGTCCTCTTCCAGCACCAGCACCGTCCCATGGACCAGGTCTGATGGAGCTATGTTTGGTCCTTTTCTCGAACTTCTTGTAATCGTTTTTCTAGGCGATCCAATTTGGCGAGATTTTCCTTGAGCAGTTTGCTGTCTGGAACTAGCTGTAAGGCTCTTTCATAATAAGCTCTTGCAGACACATAGTTTCCCTGTGGGGAAAAGAGTGAGAACAATTCTACTCTGATCTGTCAGAACACTCACTCAGCAGGCGGGGAGACAGGAGAAACTGCCTACACCCAGCTAGCATTAACATTTCTTGAGTAACCCTTGTCTGCATGTGTCATTTACCCTCATCTGTTGGGGCTTTTAGAGAATCCATTTGTTTTAAGGACCCGACCAGCTGGAGAATGTGAAGGATAAGAGCAATACCAGGAGGTTAAATGGTAGAAAAGCGGATTTTGGTTCTATTAAACGCAGAGCCCAGGGCCATCATTTCATCGTGTTCCCAAGGGATTAGTGCTGTTCCTTCAAAATCAAATGGAGCCATGGCTGGAAATGGGGGGAGGAGTGCTTGAAACTTCAGGAGCAATGATTACGTAGGCATCAGTTTTATCTTCTTGGTGGTAGGAGTTATTGTAATCTTCAACTTAAACCATAAAAGCAACTTTCGTCTAGTGCAGGCTTTACATGATGAAAAGAGTTGAAAAGACAAGCCTATGGCCTTAAATTTACCTGCCATGCAAGGTGTGTGGTGATGTGTACCAGTACTCAGTGCATGAGGGAAGGTGTGGCATTTCTGACCTGCTGAATACAATGACTCCCTGACTAGCAACTTTGTATGCCTGCTCCCCTGGCAAATGAATCACAACTATTAGCTTTTGCAGGATCTTTTCTGCTAGTAAATGTCTTACCTCCCTTACCTGGTTCACCCTTTCAGGTCTGTGTCCTGGAAAGTCTCAGAACGAAGATTGTTTCAGTTTTTCCCATTCTAAAAGTAAGAATTTGCTCCACCTTATTCTCTGTTGCATCTCCTATATGGATGAACACCGGTGACTCTAAATTTCCGTTACAATTTACGATGGGATCTCTCAGGGTTGAAAGCATTGTGGCAACTAGCAATAGTGTTTACTGCATTGCTTAACTATCTTCCAAATGTGTTTGTATGCATGGAAAGCTTAGCCACTGCCTGACACACAGTGAGCTCTCAATGTGATGTCCTCATCTAAAGGACCATCCAGGCTCTATGTAAACGCTGTCTGTTTCTCATAGCACTCATAGTCATGCCTGTGAGCAGTGGAAATGACGGCATATGGAAGCACAGGCAGTGTTATTTCCAACAAATCAAGACCTTCCTGATTGCTCGTGTGGACTCTGGAAGGCTGCTGAAGGAGCATGAACTTGGATTTGCTGCCTTCAACTAGGATTGTTTTGAATGCAAGAATTTACATTACAAGTGACTTTTGACTTTTATTAAACTTAACACACAAGTGCACATTTGTGACTCCCCGAGTGCTCTCAGAATACGTTGCTACAACAGTTGATTTGAAATTGTTCTTCCAGGAAGCTGCCCTGATTTTAGGCTCACATTAGCTCCTTGGCATCTTCTCTTATTAGCAGGTTTCCCCATCCTTTTGCATAAAACCTAGTTCATTTTCTCTCCCTCAAATCGTTCTTCTTTTGAGTAAATCAGAAACCCTATTTTTCTTAAAAGATATATATTTTAATATTTTTTTCTAAAATGCTATATCCTTAATTTTTTTTCTAGAAAAGCTATATGTCTTAGTTCAATGTCTCCAGTCCCATGCTAGGTCGGGAATTAGAATTGTCTAATTTCTAGAACTGTGATAGTAAGATAACTACTAGCCACAAGTGGCTATTTGAATTTAAATAGATTACATTTAATTAAGAGTTAAATTCCTCAGTTGCTCTAGCCACATTTCAAGTACTCAATGGCTAGTAGTACATGTGGCCAGTCACTACTTCCTCAGACAGTGTGGTTACAAAACATACCCATGGTTATAAAAAGTTCTACGGGACAATGTGCCATTCTAAAAAATGCATATTAGTGTCAAAAGGTAGAACTGAAAATAGTACTTTGAAATATGATAAGTGTGACAGAACCCTTTGACTATAAAGATTGTATTATAATCTGGGTATGGTGGCACACACCTATAATTCCAGCTACTGGGGAGGTGAAGGTATGAGGATCGCAGTTCAAGGCCAGCCTGGGCAAAAGCATAGAACTCTATTTGAAAAATAAACTAAAAGCAAGAGGACTGGAGACATGGATCAAGTGGTAGAGAACTTGGCCAGCAGACGTGAGGCCCAGAGTTCAATCCTTAATATCACCAAAATCTTCTATAAAACTTTACACAAATTATTCTAGGCAGAGCATCCCCGGAGCAAAAACACAAAATGTTCCAAGGTCTGAAACTTCTTGAATATCAACATGGTGCCACAAGTGGGAAATTCCATACCTAACCTTATGTGATGTCAAATTGTTGATATTCTAAAATATAAATATATACAATTACATTTGGGCTCTGACTATCAAGTTTTATGTGATGGATAAATGAATACAGTATTTAGACTTGGGTCCCATTCCTAAGAGATCTCATTATGTATATGCAAATATCCTGAAATTCAAAACAAATCCCAATTGGAAACACTTCTGGGTCCTCAGCGTCTAGGGTGAGGCATGTGCGCCCTGTATCTTTAATGATTAGAACAGCAACAGCAGAGACGATCGGGACGTGCACTACCCCGCCCCACCCCTGCACCAGCTCTGTGCAAAGCCTGGCTTCAATTCCCCACCTCCACAGATCCCCCAGGCACAGGGAAGGAGCCAGGAGCAGAAACAGGATGATGCGGCATGTTGCACTTTCACAAGATGGAAAGTGCCCAATGGTGAGACTCTTGCAGCTTAACGGTGGCATCAAAATGACCACATCCAAGTCACGTGCTGGCTCTTTAAAACTTATTTATAAAATATGAAAGCATGTCATACACTTATAAAACACAAATATGTCTTATATTAGATTGCGGAATATGAATTCACCGACAAACCATTTTAAAACTATAAACATGGCATTTGTTCAAAATAATACATGGCATATACAATCACAAGAAAGATAAACTAATTTTTAGTAAATGTTAGTTACATTTTAACTAACTATTTTAACAATAGATATCCTTCTTCAATTTTCAGATACCCTTTCAGGGAAGGTGCCTATAAACTTGAAGCACGCAGTTCAATAGTGTTAACAAATACACTATTTTCTTTATTTCTAGACTTTTTGGATACTCTTGAATGTATATGTCATACTTTTTCCATTTAACAACTGAATAATGGCTTGAACTGCTGGCATATTCCATCTAAAAGAATTTGAGCGTGTTAATTGAAAATATCACTACTTAATATATTATTTAAGTATTTACATTTATTATTGTATTATTTTCAAGTAAGTTCATTCTATGCTTCCCAGCTAGGCATTGCTGGTCATGGTGGAATACCGTTAAGATCAGACCATGGGGGTTGACTCTGGATTCCCATCTGTTAGGTCAAGGCAGTAAGTCATGTGCTCTCTGTCTAAGTAGTCATGTGGTCTTTTGCTTTGTTTTAGTTCTGGGAGTGATCAGTCAGACTTCACAGTAAAGCTATATAGGACCTTCATTTAAATTCCAATCACTGCTATTTTATCAGTGCAGTGACTGAGAGAAGCCTGAGAAGTTAAGAGAGATCCCTTTAAAAACACTTCAGGCAGTGGCACTGCTCTGTTCAATGTCCTCTAAAGACCCCCAATTTATTTGGCATAACAGAGTTCCTAAAAATCCCCTTCAAAGCCCTACATGATCTGACCCAATGACCTCTCTAATCTCAGCTTCATCAGTTTCCTCTTACTTCTGTGCCCTAGCCAGACTGTCTTCCACTGTTCTTCAAACATAGCAAGCATGTACATACCTCAGGGCCTTTGCATATGCTCTTTCCCTATTTGGCCAAATGATTTGCTTCCTTCAAGTCTCTGCTCAAATATCTCTTTTTACTGAGGCATTCCCTAACCACCTTAAGTTGCAGCCCCACTGGTCCTCTATACTGTCTGTTTTGCCTAGCACTAATCACTACCTGGTATATTTTAGGCATGTATGCATGTATGTGAGCATTTATTTACTACCTGTTACCCCATACTAGAATGTTAGCTCCACATGGACAGGTGTTTTTGTCTCCTTTAGTCATTGCTGTATTCCTAGTGCCTAGAAGAGTACTTGGCACATAGGATGCTTGTAAGATGAATGAATGAGGAAATGAGTGATGGAGAATCTTTGATTTTATTACTTATAAACAATAGTCCCCCATAGAAGTCATTTTCAATCCTTCTTGGCAGAAAGATTCACCCAAAGTTAGCTTTTTTTTTTTAGGGGGGGAGTGAAGGTGGGGAAGTAAAACAAAACAAACATGTTTCCTACTAAAAGGTTAGGGTAACCTTAGATGGGAGAAGTAGGAAAGTAATAGTTAGAGCAACACTTCAGTGTCCAGACAACACTAAGCTTCAACAGGGATGCAGTTCACACAGGCAGATTTTAACCACTGTTTGCTGACACTTCTTTTAAGTACCTATGGGTTTCTTCATGATGAGTAAAATCATGGAATCTAATTTATATCTCTATGTATTTAAAAATGGCTCCATGATATTCAATATCTACAAAATACAAAGTCAGTAGGAAGTTTGTAGTTTTACTTTAAAGCAACTATGTCTTCAGAATTCAAATAATTTCATAGAGGACATTAAGGGTGGCTTCTGAATCACTGAAGGGAGAGGAGAGGCCGAGTGAGGACACAGAGGGACCAGGCTGCATGGATGTGAGAGACACTCCTACCTTGATGTGCTGGATTCCACCCATGTTCATCCAGGCCTGTGCTTGCTCTGCGTTCAGTGCCACGGCTGCTTTATAGCTCTAATAAATGAGAAACATCTTCAGGTTAGGAGGCAAGAACCCATCTTTAATGGTGCAGGACAGGGAACTGCCTTCCTGCACATGCCAGGGTTTACAAGGTTAACTGGGGGGTGTTGGTCACTCCTGGCTCACAGGAAACCTCATCTGTTTCTGTTATGTTTCAGAGTTGAAGGTCCTAACTGGAGGAGACTGCAGTGTGCGATCTTCCCACAGAGGGCTGAGGAGGCCTATGAGGGGCCCAGGGGATTTCTGCTTCATTTTCCACCCGCCTGACTTACAAGGAAATAGCTCTTTTTGGCCTTCTTCTCTATAAATGCAATTGGTAAGAAAACTGCTTTTTAAAGTCATAGAATCTGGGGCTGAAGTATAGCTCAGTGGAAGAGAATGAGGTTAACGTTTGTGAGACTGTGAGTCCAATTCCCAGCACTAAAAAAAAATAAATAAAATTATTTTTTTTAAAAAACTTAGAATTTCAGAGTAGCTTCCTAAAGAGCTTCATCCTGGTGCAGTGTGTCCTTCCAAGTGTCACTGTCTAGCCTGTGCATAGATTCCTGAAACAGGATGGTCATCATGTCTGTTTTTCCAGGGGATAGTTTTAATCATTAGGAAATCTTCTGCCAACGGGTTTTCAAATGATCCGAGAGAGGTACAGCTCTCGGCACTTTGTCTTACACATATCCATCCCATTAAACATAGCACCTGAGGCATCCAATAAGAGCTGTCTTGCTTTACAAGTATGTGCACCACAAAGTCTTATCTTTGCTCACTGTAAACAAAGCCAAAGGCTTTACAAAGCTGAGTAGCTGAGTGTATATTTTAATGTTATTTCATTTTTATAGCAAGAATACACCCAAACAAATCTATTAAGTAAAATCTAGTCCATCCTCTTCTACTCCAATTCTAGGAAAAAGAAGGAAATGATGAGAAATTATATTTTCAAAAAGCCACTAAGATAAACCTGCAGGTATGTCTCTTGGATTCACTTATACCACAGAGGTGAAGGTGAAGTATAGAAGTTAAGAACTAGATTCAAATCGTGGCTCCATTTCTTACATCCCATACGACCCTGAGCAAGTTATACAACCTCCAAGTCTCAGTCTACAAAAGCACAAAATGGCAACAAATGACTGTCTTCTTATATGATTACCGGGAAGATTAAATTACTTACTACAAGGCAATCATTCACAGAAGTGCTAACATATTTTCACCATTATAATTTCCAGAGGAGCCTACTTCTACTCTTCATTAAATGTGGTCACAACATTGGATAAGCAACTAGAAAATACTGTGTTTTCGATACAGTGAGTTAAGATGCAAATATAGATACAGTATAAAATTCGTAATTACTTACTTAAGAATGAAGGTATTCAAAGTGTTTACAAGGCAAAGAAAAATCTACAATTTCTGAGAAAAATGCTCACAGTGCTTGAAAGAAAAATGTTACAATTTCTGTTTCAAGGGTTTGCATTCATATTAGTTTTTCCAGAATTCTTAACCTGTGTTTTCTTTCCAATAATATTTAAATTTCGTTTTTGTTTTTGGTGGTGCCGAGGATGAAACCAAAGGCCTCCTGCAGGGTAGGGAAGCACTCTACCATGGAGCCACATCCCCAGTTCATTCGCTTGTTTATTTTCCAACACAATTATTTGAGGTTTTACTTTCTCCCATAATGTATTTAGTGTAATTTTATGACATCATTAATTCCAACTGGTGGCTTTATGTATGCAAGGATAATGTATGGTATTTCTGTAAGCCTTGCATTGATGTTTATATCTTCTTTTTTGCAGTACTGGGATTTGAAGTCAAGGCCTTGTGCTTGCTAGGCAGGTACCCTACTACTTGAGCCATTCCACCAGCCCTTGTTTATGTGTTCTTGATTTCGCACTGTGCATAAATTTTATTCCAAAATGCAGCTTCTGAATGTAGATACTGGTGCAAGACCCATGATTTAGAATAAAGAAGGAGGCAATCACTCTCCACAAGGGAAGTCCAATCTCACTGGGAGTTGGAATGCAAGTGTACAAGTGCACATCTCAAAGGTCATGTGACACCTCAAAGGCGACCTGGTACCTTAATGAGAAGAAGAAAGGTCTCTGGGACCAAGATGGTCAGGAGGGGCTTCTTGAGGGTGCAGGAAAAATGTGCCTTGGTAAATGAGAATTCTTGCAGGCAAGCATTCACATGTGTACACATAGGCACAGAAACAGAAAAAGAGGAAGGCAGGGAGAGAGAAGAGAGAGAGAGAGATAGCTTTTCAGACCAAACTGGAATGCTTTGGTTATCAAGTTAGAGGTAGTAATTCAGAAAATAATGCAGAGGTACTACATACCTCTTAGTACTTAAAAACCAGAGGCTCAGATGTAAAAAAATTATGTCAATGAATCAGAAAATTCACTACATAAACATGTCACTGATCTTAGTTTCTACTATAGGCTTCATTAAGAAGGACCAGGTGATGTGGCTTATGCCTGTAATCCCAGCTATTTAGGAGGTGGACATCAGGAAAATTAAGGTTTGAGGCCAGCCTTGAAAAGTTAGTGAGACCTCATCTCAATCAATAATCTGGGTGTGGTGGTGTGACCCTGTTATCCCAGCTACATAGGAGACATAAATCACTGTCTGAGGCCGGCCCTGGGCAAAAATGTAAAGCCCTACCTGAAAAATAACTAAAGCAAAAGAGGGCTGGGTGCATGGCTTAAGTGGTAGAGCCCCTGACCAGCAAGAACAAGGCCCTCAAACCCCAGTACGGCCAAAAAAAAGGATTGCATAAATATTCATTTGACTCTACAAATTTAATAGCATGATTTTAAGTGTTTTTACCTCAAAAGCTTTGTCAAGATGGTTCTGCTCTCTTAGCTGGTTTCCTTTGGTGAAGAAAAGTTCAGACAGGACTTTCGGGTCCTTTGGTTTCAGCTGGAGAGCCTGGTCTATAGCATTGAGGGCCTGCAGAGGTAGGAAATGGAGACAGGATAAAAAAGCCTAATTTAAATGATGAAACCCACACTTCCTCCATCTGTGTTAGCGGATGTGGTGCACAAGAACCAAAATATCTTCTTGTCCCTGGAGTATAAGGAAATAATTTTGCCCAGGTCCCCATTCATAGATCAGTGATAATAAAATGTCCCTCATCACTCAAGAGGGAGGTTGTGCACCAAAGTTGAAAGAAAGTGACCCTGGGGTCCGGATGTCTGCCCTGGCCAATGTCTGTGTGGAACACTCCAGTAGTCTCATCTTAGCCCTAACCCTGCTGCCCCTTTGCAGCCAGATACCCTTTCAAAGCACAGGCTCATCTGTTGCTTTTCTCCTTAAAATGCCAGAGCTTCTACCAAGAATGAGGAAGAAAGCCCTTGGCCTTGCTCAAGGGTCACCCTGTGTTTCCATCTCATGCTGTGCCTCTGCTCCCTCATGCCCTTTCCCCAGACAGGACCCTTTCTGCTGCCACAGGACCTCTGCGTGTGCTGTCAGCAGCTCAGAACTTCTTCTGCTGCCCCATCTGCTTCCTGACTCCCACTTGTCATCTAGACCTTATTCTCCCCGTCACCTCACAGAGGAATCTGAGCCAGACTACTGACCTGATTCTTTCAGTGTCACTGAGTATAGTCACAGTCACATCTCCTTCCCTGCTGTAAGCTCAATAACGACAGGGCAGTGACTTTTCCTTATTTTTTCTATCACTCTATTTCTGGAGTCTACCACAGTGACTGGCACATAGCAGGCACTCAACAAATAGTTTGTTGAGTTGGTTCATGAATTTAATGTGATTTTCAAAACAGAGATTAAACAACAGTAGTTACAACAGTGACCTGCCTTACAGGGCACTGTAGCAATGAGTGCTACATAAAATATTACGTTAGAGGAAGCATGGAAAGTGGTAAAGCAACAAAGACTTAGACTTTATCTAGAGTCAACTAAAAATGAGCTAAAATGATGCCACGTGAAAGCTTTCTCATCTCAGGAGACAGTTCAGGAGGTAAAGGTGTCTGTGAAAGCTTCCCCACAACACTACATGCCAGCTGATGATACTTACCACTGCTCAGCCCAGTGGATGTGCAAATGGACAGTCAACAACTGAAAGGCTTGGCCTACCTTGTCGTGGTGCTCCTGCTTGCTGTAGATGGCTGACAGGAGGCGGTAGCATTCCAGGCACCCAGCCTCCTCTGCTATCAGGTGACTTGTCATCTCCTCAGCTTCCTTTGTCTGACCCATCACTGCCAAAACCTGAGCCTGCAAAACCACGTGGCCTCACTTAGAAGATGGTTTCTTATTCCTTATCAAACAAGAAACCCAAATAGAGACGTGAGAATACAATCCCAGCAAGACTCTCACTGTTCTTCAGTGACTCACACTGGAGGCCCAGCCACTTGTGCTCTTTGTCCCTTCCTTTATTTTAGGTGTGTATGTTTGGGTGTGAGTGGCAGGAACACCTAAGACACCCAATGAAATGGCTTTTGCATCTTACAAATACTGATTACGGATGTCAGAAGAAATAACTTTCTAAAATTTCAACAAAATACTTAGCTTATATAAGAGGCAGGTTTGATTTATTGCTCGTCTAATAAAAATGAAGAGCAAAATACCAAAAGTTGAAATAAAAATATTGACATCAATGTTGATTTTTCTGAGTTTGATAGCTGTCCTACAGTTCTGCAACAGGACGTCCTGGCTCTTAGGAGCTAAATGCAAAAGCATTTAGGGATCAGAGCATGATATCTTTAAGTAATTCTCACATGGGTCAGAAAAAAATTATACCATGTCTAACAGATGAATGTACATGCATATGCAAATATGCACATACATATGTACACACACACCTGCATATAAGAGGAGTGAAAATGCATCCAAATCTCAAAAACTGGGGTTGGGGATGTAGCTCAGTGGTAGAACACTTGCCTAGCATGAGGAAGGCCCTGGGTTCAATCTCTAGCAATGTAAAAAACAAAAATTTCAAAAATTGACAGATCTGGGAGAAAGGGTACAAAGTTTTATTTTATTTCTTTAACTATTTTTATTATTCCTTTGTTTTGGTGCTGGTGAATAGAGCTGAGGGTCTTCTGTATGCTAGGCAAGATCTCTATACTGAGCCCCAGCCCCAGCTTCACAACTTTTTATAAGTTCAAAATTATTTTTGAAAGACTTTAAGTGTGGTGGTGTCCCTGTGTTTGGTGAGTGGCTGTGATACCATACAATGGACATAGCAGCTAGCGCTCTCAGCTGTCCTGAGGCTGTGCTGGTCCCTAACGTCCCACTCTCCCCTCACCACTCACCAGTGCCAGGCGGAGCTCCCTCTGTGCAGGCCTCAGAGCTGCAGCTTCCTGGTAAATCTGCAAGGCCTCCTCATGCCGGCCGGTATTGTAATAAAGCGCTCCCAGGGGTGACAGGACCTCAGCCGTGCGTGCCGCCTGTAGGGCGCTGAGTTGAGAAAGGCACAGGATACTTCTCTTCTTGTAGGCATGTCTCCAAAGGTCTAAGCTCAGCTTGCTAGAGGATCCCCAGGGATTGAGACCAAATCAACTTGGTTCTTGTGATTGTATCGAGATCAGGGTTTTTGGGAAGAGCATCCTGAGGCCACCCTTGGAACACAGCACCTTGGTTGCCATGCTGGACCTACTGACATGGCAGGGCCTCTTCCTTGAATAGTGACAGACTGGGTTTTTTTCTTCTTTCTTAAAAAAATCATTTTATTTGTTTATTTATTTAGTGGTACTGGGGTTTGAACTCAGGGCCTTGAGCTTGCTTGGCAGGTGCTCTACCACTTGAGTCATGCCCCCCAGACTTGCTGCTGTTCTGAGCGAGGTGCAGTCTTTCATCTATTCGTGTTTTTGAAATGGCTACTAGTGGTTTGTGTTGGACTTCCTGCTTCAGAAAACCACAGGCTAACTAAAGTGGAATTAAATTCCATCTGTGATTTAGCACCATGGTCTAAAGAGCAGGAAAAAAGTCACTAATTAGGATGCTGTGTATACTCCTGCATGATTTTTTGGCAGTGAGCAATAGTCCACTCTGGCAATGGTGGCTAGGATTATGAGAGTCTGAGTTGGTGGGCAACTGAGGGCAGGGAAACTGAGAAGTGAAGCAAAGGCACTGTACCGTTTGTACCACTCTTCGGCCATGCTGTTCTCTCCCAGGGACCTGTAGAGTCTGCCCAGGTTCACCATGGCCACGTGATGACTCGGGCTGAGCTTGATGGCCTGTCGGTAGTGGGCCACAGCCTTCTCTGGAGAGCCTGCAATGATGGGAAGGGCCGGGCAGAGCGTGTCTCAGTGCCATGGGCGCAGCTCCCCTCGGTAGCACAGCTGGCGGCTGACGCAGCTGGCCACCTAGCCTGCATCTTGCTTTCTTAGGCTTGCTGCTGCTTAACATGCAGTCATTTCACTATTCATTCACACTTCCTAATAAATTAATAATGAAAATTAAGAAGCAAAAAGGAAACTATTTCTTTATGCAATATTTTAGTCAAAGTGCTTTTTGGTCATGGGCTTTGTTAATGTGATGTTTTGAGCTTCTCAGTGATGGCTGTTTACTCAAGATTTGGCTTCCTTTCATTATGTGAATAATAGAATACGCTATCACAGATAAAACAGACCTGAAGCCATTTCCAAGGGTCTGTGTCATTTATACAGTTACACAACAACACACTATTCGAGGTGTTGCTTCCAGTAAGTATGTGTCAGCTGTGTGTAATCTCTTTTTAAATCCTGCACTTTTGCTTAAATGTTACTTGTTTGATGTTAAACACAATCATAAGGCCTCCTTGCAGCTCTGTGATGCATTGCATATTTTAGAATATTTTTATTTGTATTATCTTTGCAGGGATTTTGGATTAGATCCTATATAGCTACCCTTTAAAGGCAGTTAGCCTCTTGGGATTTAAGAGATTTTTTTTTTTAAAACAACAACAATAAAATTACCACTTTAGATACATAGTAAAGTGCAAAGAAATTAAGAGCTTGAAAAAGATGCAGGGCAAGTGATGAGGACAAAGACCAGAACAGAATCGGGTCTCTCTGGTCTGATGTAGGTCCCCAAACGAGCTTTCTAGTGTGACTCAGCCAAGGGGCTGATTTCCACACCAATCCGAAGTCCTGAGTGGAATGGATTCTCCATTATCTGCATAGAAATTTTCCCCACATGTGCCTCCTGTAATGCATACATGCTTGACTAGGAGCTACCAAAAGCCACTGTGTCATAGAGTGCCCAGTGAGTGGTTAGCCTCCATAATAGGAGGTGTGGATGGGCTGTTTTTTGATGAATTGAAAGGAAGAGGCTTAGGCCAGGACAATAAGATCTGTTCTTTATCTCTTTATGACACTTAATTTTAAAAATTCTTTAAAATTTTAACATTTTTATTAGCATATTTTAGTTGTATGGAGAGGTTTCTTTGGGACCTTCTCAATATGTGTTTACAATGTATCTTGGATAGTGTCATCCTCTCCATCATTCTCCCTCACTCCTCTCTTTGTCCTCCTAGTTAAAATAATTTCAACAAGTTTCATTGTTCTATTTTCATACAAGTATATAAAATACATCAACCATATTCCCTTCCTTTACTCTTTCAACTTACCTTCCCACCTCTCTAGTACCCCCCATTCCAGCAGGACCTGTTTTATGTTCCAGTCTTTCAATTTTTTAAGTTATGTTAATTGTTCAAAGGAGTTCACCATGGTATTTCACTCATGAATATATTGTACTTTATATATTATATATTAACCCCCTGTTATCTCTCTTCCCCCTCACCAACCAACAGCTTTCAGTGTGTTTCATTGTCCCATCTTCCTATTCAGACGAAATGTATTTTGATGTTATTTATTCTCTGTCATTCTCTTTTCCTCTTCTTACTCTCCCTAGTCCTCAAACAGTCCCACTACTGCAGACATGTGTGTGTGTGTGTGTGTGTGTGTGTGTGTAGGATCACGTTTTTATCTGTGTGCACATTTACGTGACACTTTGCTATCATATGCTAATGAGCCAGCAGGTGGCAGCACACAACAATTTTACAGACAAAAATAAAGTTTCTAGATGAACTAGAATGCAAATTTATAGTCTGTAAAACAGAGCTTCACATAGCCTAGAAAATAAAAACTCTTTCAAAGCATTTCATACTGAAGAAATAATTAAGACTAAATTTTACTTCAGGGCAGCTAGTCAAGGAGTCGGTGAGAACAACTGTTGCTTTTGCATTATATTCAACAATCATTTCACCATACCAAAGCGTTCATAACTTACCAACAGTGTGTGGGGCACTGCACTGGTCCTAAAGAAAGGAGAGCCTCAGCCCACAACATTTTGCATTAAATAAGACAGAGAAAGTATACTATATATATATAGCACCTGTCATGTGAGAATGCTATCAATTAGAATGAGTTTCTGTAATAAATAAAGGAGGAACAATGAAATAATTCTAGAGACTTTTTTTTTTCTCTTTTTGGTGTTACTGGGGTTTGAATAGGTTTTGATTTTTGCTCATGCCAGCCTGGAACTGTGATCCTCCTACCTATGCTTCCTTGCATATCTGGATAAAAGTAATGCCTGGTTTGTTGGTTGAGATGGGGTCTTATTAACCCTGCGTAGGCTGATCTTGAATCATGATTGCCTCAATTTCCACCTCCTGAATAGCTGGGATTATAGACATGAGTCACAGCACAGGGTCCTGGAGGCTTTTAAAGTCAGTTACAAAAAGTATTTAGCATCTGTGGGTAACAAGATTCAGAGGCAGGTTCTACCTTATTGTAGAAGAGCATTTTATCATCAGGGATTTTTTATTATTATTCATTTATTCACATGTGCATAAATTGTTTGGGCCATTTCCCCCCCATGCCCCCTCATCTCCTCCTTCCTCCCCACCCCCTCATCACTTTATCATCAGGGATTTACAAACTTGCATAAATGACAAGGAAGACTGGGACTCATTAAATCATCAAGGCTACTTCCTATCCCTGGGGAGTTTTCTCTACAGACATCATTGCAAGAAAGGGGCAGATTTTACTGAGCTGAGCTTGAAGATTTAGAGAATGACAACCCCAAGGTATGCTGGGACATCAGCAGAGCAAGCTTCCTGTCCTGATGGATGACCCAGGCTACTGCCATTTTACTTGACAGAAGGCACTGCCCAGTCCCAGCAGAATGGGCTCTCTTTGATTTCTCTTACCAGAATCAACTAAGAAAACCCCGTAGTTATTGTGCAAGTCTGAGCTGTCTGGACAGTTCTTGATTCCAGCCTGGTATACTTCTTCAGCTTCCTTAAATCTTTCCTTCAAAAGAGAACAACAAAAAGAAACAAGAAAGTTTTACAAAATCATCCCAAACTGCATACTGGAGTGGGAAACAGGAAAATTGACGGCCTCTGTTACACACCAGGCATTGAGATGAAGCATTAAGAACCTGCTTGAGTTCAAGTCAATGTTAACTGTGTGCAAGCACCTGTAATTCCTACCTGTGTTTCAGTTCTTCATGTAATGCTGTTTACTAAAATAGAACATCTGGGTGGATCAGGAACTATGTTTGGAAAAGGCCTGGCATTCCTCGATCAATTGCGCTCCCGTTCACCTCTGTAGCTCCTCCAGTAAAAACGGGCCACACAGCAATACAGTACATGTGCAGCAGTGGGGCTTGGAGAAGGGGCCCTGGGCACTGATGATCACCATATCTGCACAGACTCGACTCTCCTCCTATACACTAAGATCTGTTGTGGTTTTGAAGTGCAGTGGGGAGGGGAGACTGGTGTGGAAGGTGGGAGGGCTTTGGTTATCTTTCCTTCTTGAAATAGCTCTACTGCTCACCAGATTGTTTCCTACTTCCCTTATTAAATCTGTGCTTTCCATCTCTGCATTGTCCTTGTGACAGGATTATCTGTCCCTTCAAAGTCACACCTCAGGGCCAGACCAAATGCCGCACCTCCATGGACCACTGCCTAGTGGCCCCCATATCCTTCCATTTACAGATTCATGGTAACTTACTTTAATACTTCTGAATTAACTTTCCTTACAGTTTCCACATTCATCTGAGATAGTGGTGTCACACTTTAATTAGAAGTTAAAATCTAATTAGTGCAAGGTTCTGTGAACTGTCCACCAGTAACCAATTTTATTTCCTAGGTGAAAGGAAATGGTTTGGCATAAAACACCTGGCAACTCTTTCTTAAAAATTTTTTTTATTGTTGTATTGGAGGAAGGCTATTGGATTTTTCTAATGACAGTGAGTTTCCAAGGACTCAAAGGTAAGCTTTGGAGTATCTGGGAAGGGTGGGGGAATTTGTGTGTGTGTGTGCAACTTTTTCTTTATGATGCTCTGAGCACGCCATTTTCCAAAATTGTATCGCAAGTCACTATTCCTGAGCATTCAACCAGACCCATGATGAGGGACAGTAGGGCAGAGATTTCTTAGACATGGCACCTCCCGATTGTGACCAAAGGGTGTGAGATGTTCACACCAAGCATTCAGCAATTAGCCAGATGCGCCTCAGTGGCCTGGGAAGGTGGCGAGTCCATCCTCTGCAGAAAGACTCATGTCATCTGTTTGAATTCACATATTTCAGGATCACTGGTGAGAAGGTGAAGCTTATATTTGACAAATTTTACTTATTTGAACTATAAATCCATAGTCCAGCAAAAATGGAGATCAATGTTTCTAAATATTTATTATTGCTAAACTTAACAAAATTGCCAGACTAAAAAGGTTAAAGAAGAAGAAAAAATCTGAAAATAGTTCCTTTCAATCCACCAAAGAGAAGAAAAGCTTTTTGAAGACAGTATTCCATGAAGGGCCAACAACTGTGTGTGTGTGTGTGTGTGTCTGTGTATTAAATGACTACAGGCAGAACATAAATAAGAATCCAACCAAATGAGTATTTAGAAACTTCCAGTGAGTATTTATTCATGTATCCATACATCCAGCACAGCACACTGGCAGCTATAGCTATAGGAAGTATGGCATAGTAATTAAGAATTAGGTCTTTGACAAAGGAGCTAAAAATATACGATGGAGAAATAGCAGCCTCTTCAACAAAAACTGCTGGGAAAACTGCTTAGCAGTCTGCAAAAAACTGAAACTAGATCCATGTATATCACCCTATACCAAGATTAACTCAAAATGGATCAAGGATCTTAATATCAGATCACAGACTCTAAAGTTGATACAGGAAAGAGTAGGAAATACTCTGGAGGTAGTAGGTATAGGCAAGAACTTTCTCAACGAAACCCCAGCAGCACAGCAACTAAGAGATAGCATAGATAAATGGGACCTCATAAAGCTAAAAAGCTTCTGTTCATCAAAAGAAATGGTCTCTAAACTGAAGAGAACACCCACAGAGTGGGAGAAAATATTTGCCAACTATACATCAGACAAAGGACTGATAACCAGAATATATAGGGAACTTAAAAAACTAAATTCTCCCAAAACTAATGAACCAATAAAGAAATGGGCAAGTGAACTAAACAGAACTTTCTCAAAAGAAGAAATTCAAATGGCCAAAAAACACATGAAAAAATGCTCACCATCTCTAGCAATAAAGGAAATGCAAATTAAAACCACACGAAGATTCCACCTCACCCCTGTTAGAATAGCCATCAGCAACACCAACAACAGGTGTTGGCAGGATGCGGGGAAAAAGGAACCTCTTACGCTGTTGGTGGGAATGTAAACTAGTACAATCACTCTGGAAAAAAATTTGGAGGCTACTTAAAAAGCTAGACATCGATCTACCATTTGATCCAGCAATACCACTCTTGGGGATATAACCAAAAGACTGTGACACTGGTTACTCCAGAGGCACCTGCACCCATGTTTATTGCGGCACTATTCACAATAGCCAAGTTATGGAAACAGCCAAGATGCCCACCACTGACGAATGGATTAAGAAAATGTGGTATCTGTACACAATGGAATTTTATGCAGCCATGAAGAAGAACGAAATGTTATCATTCGCTGATAAATGGATGGAATTGGAGAACATCATTCTGAGTGAGGTTAGCCTGGCCCAAAAGACCAAAAATCGTATGTTCTCCCTCATATGTGGACATTAGATCAAGGGCAAATGCAACAATGGGATTGGACTTTGAGCACATGATAAAAGCGAGAGCACACAAGGGAGGGGTGAGGATAGGTAAGACACCTAAAAAATTAGCTAGCATTTGTTGCCCTTAATGCAGAGAAACTAAAGCAGATACTTTAAAAGCAACTGAGGCCAATAGGAAAAGGGGAACAGGAACTAGAGAAAAGGTTAGATCAAAAAGAATTAACCTAGAAGGTAACACCCACGCACAGGAAATCAATGTGAGTCAATGCCCTGTATAGCTATCCTTATCTCAACCAGCAATAACCCTTGTTTCTTCCTATTATTGCTTATACTCTCTCTACAACAAAATTAGAAATAAGGGCAAAATAGTTTCTGCTGGGTATTGAGGGGGTAGGGGGGAGAGGGAGGGGTGGAGTGGGTAGTAAGGGAGGGGGTGGGGGCAGGGGGGAGAAATGACCCAAGCCTTGTATGCACATATGAATAATAAAAGAAAAAAAAAAGAATTAGGCTCTTGGGGGCTGGCGGAGTGGCTCAAATGGTAGACTGCCTGCCTAGCAAGAGACCCTGAGTTCAAACCCCAGTACGGTTAAAACAACAAAAAAGAATTAGGCCCTTGGTACTTGACTGCACTGGATTAAAATCCCAGCTCTACTCCTTATATTTCTGTGACTTTACTTTTTCTGTGTCCCAAACATAAAATAACAATAGTGTTTATGTCACAGTTTTGTTGTGAGAATTAAATGGATGAAAACCTGTGAGTACTTAAAGCAATGTTTAGTATATGCCCAGTACTTTTTTTTTTTTGGTGGGACTTGGGTTTGAACTCAGGGCTTCTCACTTGCAAAGCAGGTGCTCTACCACTTAAGCCCTTGAGCCACCCTTCTAGCCCTTCCAGTACTTTGGATGCAAGCCACCATCCCCATGATTTTACTAATATTAACTACTTAAATTACTGGAGGATAGATGCCAAAGACACGGACATGAATGAAACATGATATTTTTATTTAAGGAGCTTAAAGACTAATGAGCTAATAAATACAACTCAATGTGATCAGTGTAATAGAGAGGTGGAAGCAAGGCAGCCATGAGCATCAGTGGCCTAGAGTTGCTACTGTCATGATCATCTCCAACAGGCACTTCAGCCAAGTTCTTCTCCTAAAGAACTCTCTTAGGAAAATAATGAACTAACTGAGTTCATTATTTCTTTAGTTTCTTTTTTATTTTTGCAGTTCCAGGGCTTGAAATCAGAGCCTTACACTAGGTAGTCAGGCAGTCTACCACTTGAGTCACTCCATCAGTCCTGACACTAAGCTTTGTAACAAATGAAGAAACTTGTGTATGAAGTGGTTAAGATATCAAAAATGTTATAACTACCTGGTGACAGAAAATAAAATCCAGGTTTCCAGTGAACATACAGGAATTGGTGAGCTCTAAGTAGAAGAATTTTTAGAAATAAATAAGGATGATTCTGGCATAAAAAGGCAAAGTCATACCTTTTGATATCCATTCATCCATCTACTCAACCACCATCCACCCATCCACCCACCCATCCACCCACCCACTCAGCCATCATCCATCTACCCATCCATCCATCTACCCACCCACTCAACTTTAATTAAAATGTCTGCAGTCCAGAAATGTTTCTGACAAGTAATACTGTCTGCTGGGCCACAGGGCCCTAACCACCTTCCAGAGTAGCAGATAAATGCTGATGAAAATCAACAACCCCATTTTTTACATACTATGCTACCAACAGCCAACATGGCACATCTTGTACCTTACTGAGGGGAAAGTGGAAAGTAGATGCTTCAGAGACAGAATCCTGGTGGTAACTTACTCCCTTGGGCCAGCTGATACGACTTTCTTTACAGTTCAGGTTGCAGCCACCCAAGAGGACAACAGACATGGGCTTAACGCAGTAGTTCTCAGGCTTCTTGGTTTTAGAAGTCTTAAAAACTAGTAAGGACCCTAAAGAGCTTTGGTTTACTTGGGTCATATCTATCAACATTTGCCACAGAAAAAAGCCTGAGAAATTAAAGAAATATTCACTAGTTTGTTTAAGATAATAAAAAATTCAAATACAAATAACATTTATATTACAAATTATGGGCTGGCATGGTTCAAGTGGTAAAGCACCTGTGTAGCAAGTGTGAGGCCCTGAGTCAATCCCCACTATTGCAAGATATATACATATATTATATTGTATAAGATATATACGTATATTATATTGTATATTAT